AGCTCCTCTTTTCTGGCCATGTTTGAGCTGCTAGACAGTTAGAGGAAGCGCTCTGCCACAAGTCTGATGGATGGAAACAGTTTACTAACAAGCCAAAGTGTGTCAATTTACAAGTGAATTAACTACAGCAGATGGATGGATGGATGATGGTAGATAGATGGATGGATGGTAGATGGATGGATGGATGGATGATGGTAGATGGATGGATGGATGATCGATAGATGGATGGATGGATGATGGTAGATGGATGGATGATGGATAGATGGATGGATGATGGATAGATGGATGGATGAATGAATGGATGATGGTAGATGATGGATGATGGTAGATGGATGGATGAATGAATGGATGATGGTAGATGGATGGATGATGGTAGATAGATGGATGGATCATGGTAGATAGATGGATGGATGGATGGATGATGGTAGATAGATGGATGGATCATGGTAGATGGATGATGGTAGATGGATGGATCATGGTAGATAGATGGATGGATCATGGTAGATGGATGATGGTAGATGGATGGATGATGGTAGATAGATGGATGGATCATGGTAGATGGATGATGGTAGATGGATGGATCATGGTAGATAGATGGATGGATTATGGTAGATGGATGGATGATGGTAGAATGGATCAGTGGAAAGGCTGGATGGTTAGACAGACATTAGCTGAAGTCAGTGGTGTATATTTCTGTAGTGAGTCTACTGTGACTGACGGGGGGGGGTGGAAAACCCATGCATGATGGTCTTCAGAACGGCGTGAATTTATGAATGAAAGTTTGAACAACGATGTTGTTACGTGTCGTCGCTCTTTTTGCTGCCTATCACGTTGACTACACCACTGGATCAAGTGCTTTCATGACGTTTTTTGTTGATAGCGAAGCAAGCTAATGTAGCTAACTTTAGCTTAACTCACGAGGTAAGTACAAGCTATTTGTGACTAAAAGGACCTTCCTCTATAGGTTAAGGTTGTATCTAAACATTAGTTTGTACCGTAGACCTTGGTGTGTGTGTCATTATGGACATAATGCAACTTGTAACCGTTATTTATGCATAAGGAACCCACATGACTTTCTAGCTTAACACACAAATAGCAGTGGCCTGGAGACTTGGCACAGGAAAATACACATTAGCTCGTATTATCCTAATTCAAGTCGACCGGACGATACAGCTGGGTGATTGACAGGTCACTATCCCAACGGTCTCTTTTCTGGGCTTGGTCAGTGTTTTCGTCAGGCGGCTTTTACCCGTTCTCACCGTGTTCTCCACCTGTTGCCGCCACACGCCTCAATATCTCGCCTGTTTCCAGAGAGCAGTAAGGAGGAGTAAGACCCGCCAATGGAAACCCGACTGACCAAGTAGGCGTCATGAATCCGTCCTAATTAGAGCGGACAGGAAACATGAATATCCAGTTGCACCGCTGTGTCCTCCGCCGTAGTGAAAGGGTTGATGAATGTCTTCTGGCTTGGAGGCTTTAAACCCCTGACGCACACACACACACACACACACACACCTCAAGCCAGTTTATTTTAAGCATGTGTGCACATTATTTAAGAATGTCATGATCTCCTGCTTCGGGGAATGCTGTGTGCATGTGTGACATCCATAAATCACACACTACAGGTGTGTGTGTGTGTGTGTGTGTGTGTGTTGGTGGAAGTCTCCAACTTGGAGTGAAACCACAGAGGAAAACTAAAGCCGATTCAAATCTTTTGAGAGTTCTACAGCGGAACAGTTTGCTGGATCCATCTGTGAATTCCTGCTCCAACGTGTCAGAGTGTAAAAGGGTCGAGAACAAGATCGCTTTGATCAACACAGAGAAAAAAACACGGAAAGTACAAGAAAGGTGGATTTTGATACAAAAAAAGGCACATTCCAAAATAAAATGTTAAAAAATAACACTAGTTGACAGTTAAATAGCAGTAGCATCTTCTGTCTGAATTAGAGAAAAGAGAAATAAGCCGTTTGTCCTTAAAATGGAACTAAATTGTTTGTAGTTTATAGACTGCATGTTAAAAGTTCACAGCAGCTGAACGTGTTCTAGATTCAACCCTTAATGACTTCAGCATCCAACCGCCTGCGTTTGTTCCAGATGAAACTCAAGGAATACAAAAACGTTCCTCAATCCCCTTGAGGGGATTCTTGTCAGCCTCCTTCTGAGGATGAAGAGGAACTGATAGAGGGGCCGATGGTCGGGGTTCTGAACCCCAGATGGTTCTAGTTAGCACCTTCATTTGCTAAAAAAAGAGACTCTGGCTTCATAATCTTTGAGAAATCTAAATTTCAGAACAGAGCATGTCAATATGAACGAGTCCAATGAGCTCTGTCACTTCCTGAGGACCTCCCCCCGGTCTACATCCCCCCTGAACCTGAAACGTGCCTCGCTCCCCTCCAGCGTCCCTCACAGATGCTGGAGGATTCAAAGCTTCCTGCACGCTTTCACCCGCGCCTCACTCGCCTCCTGACTGGGGTTGCCAGGGAAACCGTCTCTAAGGGAGCGTGGGCGGCAGCACGGCCCGAATCCCGGCACGCACATAGACATGCGTGCACGTGCGCGTGTGCACACGTGTTCCTTTTTTTTTGCTCTTTGCTATCAACTCACAATGCTCAGAGGCCGAGTTGGAGAGGATGTTGGGAAACGTCCAATGGGTCCTTGTCAAAATCAAGAGCCAAGGAACGCGAAGCGGGAGAGCTGCCCTGACAGAATGCAAATAACACCAAGACCACATCTGCAGTCAGAGGCTGTGAGGATCCAGGGTCCCCAAGGGCCCTCAAAGGGCCCTCAAAGCCCTTTCGTACTCGCAACTCCAACTGTTTTGATCCACAACTCTAGTTAACTCATTCTCTGGAAGAGCATGAAGCACCATTTATAATTTGACATTGCTTTATATTTATATAACTTAGACAATAGTGCAAGGCTGCAGGACTAAACAGGATTAGTGTAGCATGAGAAGCCGACTAAAACCGAATGGGAGCGAGGAAATGGACAGTGTGACACCCACCATCAGCTACAGACGCTCTGTTGGCTTTTCTCATGGAGTTTTCTTGGTGTATGAGCATATTAATCCTTGAGTTACAGTCCTTTTTGAGCACTGAAAACAAGAGGCCGTGTTGTTCATCCTTCCGGTTGTCGGGTGCTTTATTTTGTGGCGGATAGGACGTCCTCAGTTGTACACAGCCTTGTTTTCTTCCTCCATTTGGGTTTTGCGGATCAGCCACAAGTGACAGCTGTGCCGAATCTCCAGAGACTCTCAAGTCTGGCGAAAGCTGTCGGCCAGCTGGACTCAGCGGCCTGCCCGATTGGCTCACAGAACCAGGAAATGGTGCGTGAATGGAGGGGAGCCCAGATGGACCATATGGACCTGCTCTAGTGAGGGGTGTCGCGTCCCGCTAACATAAGATCCCAACCTCGTTAGCATGGCTAAGTGAACATATTGTTGTTAGATGGATGTCTGTAGCTATGTGTGTTTGTGAGACAGTCAAATGGTAATTATATATATATATATATATATATATATATATATATATATATATATATATAATATATATATATATATATATATATATATTATATCCCAACATGCACGTGTGACAATGTGCAGAGCATCTGCTGGTGTTTCCATGTACGTGCTAACAGCTAACACAGATATCTCTCTCTCCATTCAGGAGCGTGCTGCATATCCCTCCGTCTCCCTGCTCCCACGCGCCACACAGCTATTTATACCGCAGCCTATTATTTTCAGCTCTTGTCTTTTTAATCCGAGAGTAGCACCCTGCATTCCTGAACAGGTGGGTCGTATCCGCACTCCACCGTGACCTCCTACGCTGGAATCATCGCCGAAGCATCGCGCTCCACCTCTTCTCCGTCTGTCTGCATGAAAGGGAGGATCAGAGGGAGGTCGGATGGGATGGGAAGGCAGGTGAGGCGGGGAGAAGGAACCAAGGATGCGCCTGGTATTTCCCTTCCATCACGTGTCCATAGCTCCTGGTGGTTCCTCCTCACGGGTTCCTCCTCGTGTGGAACGAGGTGAGCTCGTCGTCTTTAATCAGGCAGGTTCTGCTTCTCTCTCCCTGTGGGCCCGCTGGGTCTCTCCCGGCCCGCTGGGTCTCTCCTGGTCCGCTGGGTCTCTCCCGGCCCGCTGGGTCTCTCCCGGCCCGCTGGGTCTCTCCTGGCCCGCTGGGTCTCTCCTGGTCCGCTGGGTCTCTCCCGGCCCGCTGGGTCTCTCCCGGCCTGCTGGGTCTCTCCTGGCCCGCTGGGTCTCTCCTGGTCCGCTGGGTCTCTCCTGGTGGATTCCCTCCAGTGTTGCACGGCTCAGCCGCCCTCGATCGGACGTCCCCGTCAACTCAGAAAGTCAATGATGAATCTAAGACAGACTTTCAGGCCCCAATGCAATAAAACAGGGACTCTGGCAATCTATAACAATACCACTCTTGTCCACAGGGTGCCGCCAAAAGCTACACAAAATGCTTCCATGTAGTAGCTTTAGCTAGAAGAACTTGTTACATTTCACCGCTGCTCGAACGGGAGCACAAGTTATTTTTATCTGTATTGGATTGGTCGCGGGGTTAACAGACCACCATCCGCACACCTACGGGCAGTTAGGAGTCACCAATCTACCTGATCCTCAGAGCAAACTGTTAAATGTTCTTAGGAAGGAGGGTGGTCTCCAAAATAAGAGCTGTTTGAATTCTCTAATGCTAAGGAAAGGAGCTTCAACGCTTCCTTACTTAGCTCCTTTAGCACAGGAACCACTGGACTGAATGACATCCTTTACCAGAGGAAAGGATTTCCTTCAGAGCCCCTCTGTGTGTGTGACTCGTGCTGATCAAACCCTAAACAAGCGTTCTGATGGACCTGAGTGACCCGACAGCGCCGTGTGCGTGTGCGTGTGCGTGCGTGTGCGTGTGCGTGTGCGTGTGTGTGCGTGAGATAGATTGGTATGGAAGAAGCAGGAGGGACAGATATGTTCTGGTTTTTATCTGTCCAAGTGTCTCTACCTTCTCTGCAGTTCCATCTCCTCCGGCGTGGGGCCATTCTGGACCTGGGGGTTCTGCCTGGGCACCGTGGGGCCTGTAGGGAGCGACACACACACACACACACACACACGGCTCCTGTTAGACGTTTGGCTGACATCATCAGTGCAACGTATTTGGTAACTTTCTTTGTGGTGTGAAACCACATCAGCACAGACTTTCTGCAGCAGAACTTTAGACTAACAGGCAACTAACAAACTCTGCTTCTTGCTGAGCAAAGCTACAGAAAGCTCCATGGGAAGTTTATCTGTGAATACTGAGCACACGCAGGCAGCAGCTGGACGCGGCGCCTGACGTGTTTTATGTCTATAGCGAGACGTGAGGTGGTGAAGAGCTTATTAAGAAATGAAAAACAGATTTGGACAGTTGGAAACCAAATTAAGTATTTATATATACGATCCTTAAACTTTGCTACTGTCATCTAGTGATTACTTGCTTTAAAACACAACGTATGTAACTATTATAAGCTGCTCATAAGGAAGAGAATAATTCATCGTCATATATATTTCATATTGCTGTGAAAACAGAAATCTCTTTTCTGTCCAATGAGCACAAAGGAACAACATTGTCAGTCATTCACTTTCCCGCCCACATGACAGCGCTTAAGCCTAGTTTATGTTTCTGCGTTTTCAGAGAGACGCAAGGAGTGTGTCCTTGCGTGCTCGCGTGTCCCTTGCGTGTCCCTTGCGTGTCTTTTCACGCCTCCTTACGTGCGTCGACCCATTTTTCTCGACTAGCGTGTAAAGCGACGCAGCCTCCTGCAGCAGCAGGCTGTGATTGGTCTCTGACTACGTCCTTTAGAGTCTCACGTCTCCGTTTTCACAGCACAATACGGCCGTTATTAAAAGGAAGAACGTTTACGAGAGAACGGATCAGATTGAAGAGCTTTTAAATATGAGCGCTTGTACAAGCCGTCATTGGCGGACTATGAGGACGCCGGATGGCCTCTGATTCATGGAGGGAGATCTCCACAAACGAGGGGGACAAAGTCGTGGAGGAAAATACGGGACAAATGTGTCCTTGATGAAAAGCAGCAGTGTGGATGCACGGGGCAATAAAGTCTATGATCAATAAATAAAGCAACCAGCGACTTCCACACACAAAGACGTGACTCTCTAGGTCGTCTTCAACAGAACACGTGACTCCACCTGTTGTTCTGGAGGTGAATCGCTCTGCAACACACGCAGGACTTTACAACCAGGAAGTGAAACCAGCGCGTCGACACGACGTAAAGACGCAGAAACACGCGGCGGCCTTAAGCTCCGTTACTTAGTCCGGCAGCACAGCAAACAGCTACCAGCTACCAGCTACCAGCTACCAGCTACCAGCTACCAGCTAACGCGACTTCTCCTCCTGCCGATCGAAGCGGATGTGCATCATTTCCTAATGTAGCCTTGTCAGGGGTCGGTGAGCAGGAAGCAGTGAGGCCGACCTCCTCATTGTGGTCCATTTGTCGTCTTCAGTACGAACCGGTAATGAGCAGTGTTGACGGCCTGCACAGAGACGGATGGAGACAAAAGGGGGCAGAATCCGGCCTGAAGTTCTGAACAGCAACACGGCCACAAGCGTTTATCTCACCGAGTGTGAACAGATTCGTCAGTGACGGATGACAGCAGCTCTTCGCTAGCTGTGAGGAACCTCAGCAACACCCCTAAAGGTCTCTGCAGAGGTCAATCCATTGACCACCACAGCCGTGCGTGCTCTCCATCTCTATATTTATACAGATCCATAATTATCTTTAAACAAAGAATACTATTTCTTTGGCGAGGATCGGCGTCATCAGGAAAAGACACAAAAAGCTCCACTACAAAGTAGAAAGTGTGACATCAATCGATCATCCGGGATTATCCAAATCCCCTCGTCTCATCACAGCGCCCCGATGGCTCAACCGAAACGGTATTGAATTAAACCGCGTCCACAGGCTGTCAATATCCGCCACTGTAATGCTGACACGGCCTCCCGTCTCCCCGTCTCCCCCGTCTCCCTCGTCTCCCGCTGCTGCTGGGTGTAATTGTGTTACTGTCTGCTCCCATAGAGCTAAGGAGAGAGTGACAGAACAGCTTAACAGCAGAGGAGTGGGGCCCGGCGTTGGTCCCAGGACGTCCCGTTGGACCCGGCTCTCTAACCGCACGTCTCGCTGTGTCTCACGCCAGCGAGTGAAATGACGAGGCCTGTCCTTCGAGGTGGAGCTTTCAAACCGGGTGTAGAAAGATGGGAATGGGTTCAGGGCGCTTAGGCGTGGCCTGACAAACACTGGTAATGTACCGCAGCGCGTCCACACCACCGCTCTTCATTGGTGGGATCTGATCCACCGACCCTCTGACTTAAGGGTGAGCCACAGTTTGTCCTCAGAGGGACGACTGGGAGGCTAAAAGTTCTCAGGACTTCAGCAGTATACATGGTTTTGTTGTTTATTCGTCTTCGGCCTGAAGGAGGAAGAGATGTGTCAAATAAACACAAACCTGTACCTACATGGGGGCAGCGTCAGCCTCCTCTGGCAGCAGACGTAGCACCACAGTCCTTTGGGGGCCCCGTCTGACCCGTTGCCGGGCCTCAGTGAGACCATCCCCCGGCCGCTGCCCCCCCACTACAAACCCTGGAGGAAGGCGATGGACCAACAGAAGTCTTCAGTGCAGCAGCAGTTTATCCTGGACGCGCCTTTCAAGACGATGCCCAAAACAACGGCGGCCGCCGGCCGTCTCCGGTACGTTATGAAGTGATGATCAAAGGGAGAGGAGAGGGAGGGAGAGATGAACACGAGAGGAAGGGAGGGAGGGAGCGCAAGGCTGGAGACGGGGATTGAGACGGAGGAAGAGGAGAAAGAAACGAACGCCACGCGGAGGGCGAGAGAGAGAGAGAGAGAGAGAGACTCTTCCTGATGGTCGGTCAGACAGTTTTCACTTCCTGGATCCAATCTATAATTCATAGGCTGTACAGAGAGAGGGACACCCATAGTGCTGCTGTCCTCCATATCCTCCCCAGTGTGTGTATGTGGGGCTGCAGAGAAGGATAATCCCGTCATTATTATAAATATTCCTCTCCATGCAGAGTTAGGGGTCACATGAGGACACTACGGTAGATAATAGGAAGTGGTCCCTCTTGTTGAGTTCGAGCAGCGTGCCTTGATACACGGACATTCAACAGATCAAAGAGGGGGAACTGTATGTGTCCCATTGATTTTGATAGAACACTACACATGAAACAAGCAGAAACTGACACGTCCAAAACAGACCCTGGAGCGTCGAGGACCTCTAATAATGGAACATCCTGCATTCCTGCAAAATGACACAGCTGTGGTGCCCCACTTGTATGCGTAGCATGAATACGAAGCCACATGCAGCAGGCCTGTGCTGTACAGCTTAGAGGGTCACGTGAATACGGCCAGCTGCACGCTAAAAGACATTCGTCTGCCTTGCTGTGATATAGAGTCACTGTATTTGACAATGATGAGTACTGATGACGAATCGCCGATGGAGGTGTTTGGTTGAGTGGAGATTAGAGACACAATGAACGCACATGATGAGGGACCTGGACGGACAGTAGAGGACAGGGTCATCGTCCTCTGCCCACCCAGACAAACCTCCTGTCATCAGAGCTGTCGTGTGGGTGTAAGCGATGAGCTGACGGGGAGGACGAGGTGTTCCTGTTCATGAGCGGGCTCCACCTCAGCTCCGTCCGTCCATCATGTCCCGTCAGAGTCACATAAACAGAATAAACAGCACGCGGTGTGATATACGAGCTCAGCGCGATGACGAATGTGTGATTTTAGCTTGTGTGGCTCTGAAGGCTCCACACACTCCATTGCGTGCTCGCTCTGCGATGCCAGGCAACAAATGCGAAGGACATTCCGTCTAAGTCAAAGTCAACAGGACGCGCGTCGACAGGCGCATGGACGCCGTCTGGTAGAAAAGACACAGACCACAAGGTGGCCACATTTTTCATGAATCACATTTAGCTCGCGATGTCACCGTCCCAGGATCTAAAGCAACCGCATGTGATGGGCCAGAATCCCTTACAGAGCGGCCCGCGGAGCCCCCCCACGCAGTGATGCCCCCCAGATGCCCGCGGTGGAAAGGTTGAAAGGCATGTGTGGCTATTTAGCAACTCCCCTTAAACAAACAACCAATAAATATTCATCTTCTGGGAGAAGCCCCTTAGTAGATAGATGTGATGTAAACAAGCGATCGATAGATGTGATGTAAACAAGCGATCGATAGATATGATGTAAACAAGCGATAGATAGATGTAATGTAAACAAGCGATCGATAGATGTGATGTAAACAAGCGATCGATAGATAGATGTAAACAAGCGATAGATCGATGTGATGTAAACAAGCGATCGATCAATGTGATGTAAACAAGCGATCGATCGATAGATGTAAACAAGCGATCAATAGATGTGATGTAAACAAGCGATCGATAGATGTGATGTAAACAAGCGATCGATAGATAGATGTGATGTAAACAAGCGATCGATAGATGTGATGTAAACAAGCGATCGATGTGATGTAAACAAGCGATCGATAGATGTGAACAAGCGATCGATAGATAGATGTGATGTAAACAAGCGATTGATAGATGTGATGTAAACAAGCGATCGATAGATATATGTGATGTAAACAAGCGATCGATAGATGTAAACAAGCGATCGATAGATGTGAACAAGCGATTGATCAATAGATGTGATGTAAACAAGCGATTGATCAATAGATGTGATGTAAACAAGCGATCGATAGATGTAAACAAGCGATCGATAGATGTGAACAAGCGATTGATCAATAGATGTGATGTAAACAAGCGATTGATCAATAGATGTGATGTAAACAAGCGATCGATAGATGTGAACAAGCGATCGATAGATAGATGTGATGTAAACAAGCGATCGATCAATAGATGTGATGTAAACAAGCGATTGATCAATAGATGTGATGTAAACAAGCGATCGATAGATGTGAACAAGCGATCGATAGATAGATGTGATGTAAACAAGCGATCGATCAATAGATGTGATGTAAACAAGCGATTGATAGATGTCGA